TATATATATAGAAAACTTAGCAGTTATATGAAGTTCAAACTTAACTAGATTTGCTAGCGTCACATGGCGAAGTAATAAAGAAAATCTGCGACTTCCCAAGGTTCTGCCCCTCCTCCATTGTGTACCTACAAGCTTCTGAGACTTTACTTCTTGAAATGAAGGGTATTAACTCTGCAGGCAGGTGCAGTATGTGCTGCAAGCAGCCAGGAGATGGCCTGGGAGGCCTGCTGAAGCCCTGCTCTGATCTCAAAAATACCCATGTCAAAGCGTCTTCCGGTACAGGTTGCACGCGACTGGCTGGAGGCCGACCGCCCGACTCCAAGATGGCGTCTGCAGAGGCCGCCAAAAGTCAAGATGGCGACCCGCAGCCGCGCCTGCGCTCTCAGGTCTCTTCCCCCCCCCCCCAGCCCGGCTGGGGTTGGGGGCGTGCCTCCCGTTGCCGTGCGCCGGTTGTCTTCCACCGCGGTGGCTGTCGCCGCGGCTCCCTGTCGCGCGCCATGCGTCTCCTCTGCTGGTGGCAAGTACTGCTGTGGGTGCTGGGCCTTCCGGCCCTGAGCCTGGAAGGTGAGTGCGGGCCCGGCCGGGGAAGGCGGCTGCGTGGGGGCGACTCGTTGCTCCTCGGTCGCCCGGCGGCGGTGCGGTGCGGGGCGGCGGGCGCTGGAGGCCCAGCCGGCCTGAGCGGAGGGAGTGTTTGGCGCTGGCCGAGGCAAACCCTGATTGTGGCTGTGGCCATTAGAATCCCAGAACTCTGCGCGATGCCTGCGTCATGGTGTCAGTCTCGGTCAGTCCTGCCACCGGCGCCGGGAGACAGCTTCTCACTTGCTGGACTCACAGGGGGATAGGCAGTTTGCCTGTTCGCACTTCCTGGTAAAGACCAGAGCCTGAAGTCTCTCTGACTTCACAGTCCATGCTGGAGTCTATCCTGCTGGACCACTTTTCGAAGATGGCCACTCTTGCTCAGTAGGTATCTGCATGAAAGAAAGACCAGAAAACCAACAGTAGATTCCTGGGGCCCGTGCGTATAGGGACCCCTTAAATGAGGAAGGGAGCCACTCCGTGGGGCTAGAGTGGGAAGCAGAGAGAGGCCTTAGTTCATGGCTCTTTTATCCACCCCATTAAAATCCATTTCTTTAGAATTTATTTATTATGTATACAGTGTTCTGCCTGCAGGCCAGAAGAGGGAACCAGATCTCATTACAGATGGTTGTGAGCCACCGTGTGGTTGCTGGGACTTGAACTCAGGACCTCTGGAAGAGCAGCTGGTGATCTTAATTGCTGAGCCATCTCTCCAGCCCCCTAAAATCCATTTAACAGAAAAAGATTTTTCCTTCCCCGGGGATGTCCTTCAGGGAGGCAGTGCTGAGCTCAGAGAAAGGGGATGCAAGTCGTTATTATTTGGTGTTTCTGAGACAGAATTTCACGTGACCCTGGTTGGCTTTGCAGTCGCAGTTCTCCAGCCTTCACTTCCGCACCAAGCATTTTTCTGTTGCCGTTGTTTGCTCTGAGACAGCCCTGACTGGCCCCAGATTGGTGATCCTGGTGCTTGCCCAGTGCTGATTACAGACCTCATCGTTCCCACTTACGGATGCCTCACCTGAAACTGAGCCTCGGGACCAGTAAATCCCGGGTTCACGTTATACAGCTAGGGTTGAGGGTCAGGGTGTAAGCCATGTCTGCCAGATCTCACAGCCAGAAGTTGCTGTTTTCATTCCCTTTACTCACTGGCCTTAAAAATGAGGAAGGTGTATGGATAATGGGCTCTCTTGACTTTGGAAGGCGCTGGAACAAGGGATAAAGGGGCGAGAGTGTTCTTTCTCCTGGCTCGCTTCCCCGGGGCTTATTACAGGCCTGGTCTGTCCCTCACCGGAAAGCAGCAACGCTGGGAATGCCGAGAAACGGCTCTCTTTGGTCCCTGCCAGCTGTCCCAAGGCTCTAGACAGCATCTCTGCAGCAGCCATGAGATATGTGAGTGGTCCAGGCTTTCCCTTTGCCGTCCTGATCTTGGCGTTCTTTAATGTTTAAAACCAGATATGGCAGCTGAGGCCTGTGATCCCAGCACTGCATAGGTGGAGGCAGAGTCAGGAGTTCAAAGCCAGCCTCTGCTATACAAGACCATGTAACAAATAAGCAAAAGAAACAAAACAATATTACTTTTAGTTTCTCTACTTCCATGCACACATTGATAGTCCCTCGCTACTTTCTCAGGTTTTCCAGGGTTGGTAGTCACTGTGAGCTCATTGCAAAATGCAGGCTACATTCATACATTCATGTAGACCCTGAGGATAGCCCCAACTGACTAGGGCATTGGTCATGCAGCTAGGATATAGACAGGATAGAGGAACCATCCCAGCTGGTTCTTTCTCAGAGTGACTGAAAATACAAAGCCCGTTCGTTCCCCCAGAAGATACTACTGATGAATTAGCACTTGGGGCTAGCGGTGCTGCCCAGGTGCCTAGGATTGCAGGTTAGCACCTGCTCTTGGGACCCAAAATCCTATGGTAGTCTACACTAGGGGATCAGATAGCAGCCTGTTATTTTGTTACTTGTTTGTTTGAGGACTGACTCACAATGTAACCCATCCTAGTTTGAAGTCAGAGAAATCCCACCTGCCTCAGATTCCCCATTACCAGCATTACCAGTACAACTTACCACATCCAGCCCATTTTCAGAGTCTTCCCATGCATTGTATGCCATGTACTACCAGCTCTGGTGTGCAGGGAAACACATGCTGTGTATTACCAGCACCCGTGTGCAGGGAATGCATCCTATGCCATGTACTACCGGCACCGGTGTGCAGGGAAATGCATCATATGCCTTGTCCTGATTGATGGCACTGGTGTGCAGGGAAGGATTAGACGAAGAAGAGAGCCCGCCTTCCTATCTGCAGGGCATGGCAGGCATCAAATGAATACAAATTATTGAATGAATTATAAGGGTGGAAAATACATCAAGGAAAGCCCAGGACATTATTGGGTGCCATCTGGAGATTTCTTGCCCTGGTCTAGAGGTCCTTGTAGAAGCGAAGTTTAGTGCCTCCATTCGAAGGATACTGGATTCACGTGGAGGTGAAGAGGTGCGGTAGAGGGCTTTCTTAGCCGAGAAACCACCCTCAGGAATGGTCCAGGGCAGGTTGGGAACCAGACGCTATAGAGTATAAATCACGCGGGTCAGGGGAAGTCACTGAAAGTGTGTATATTGGGGAGAAGCGAGAACAGGTTTGCCCAGCAGATTCTAGTTCCCCTTGGACCGTCACGAGGAGCAGCTTTACGGAGCAGCTCTGGGAGATGGAGGTCGGTACAGCAGTTGTGTAGCGGGAGCTGGCTGTAGCCTGGTCTGGGCAGTGTTAGTGGAGTGGGGGACAGTGGATGGAGTCCGGTTGTGGCGTTCTACATTTCTTCAAACTGTAAGCACCCCCGGCTACCGTCACTGTGACATTCATGTCCTAGGACTGAGGACATCTCTCCGCTACCCCTCACAGTAGTCCTGTATGTTGCCCCACATTGGTGACATTTTCTCATTTGTTACGGAAGCGTGCTGGGGATTGCCTTTAGGAAGCTGAGGTTCGCTGTCCCCTTAGCCCCAGCCTGTCCTGCCTTTCCTCGTTAGGCTTCCTTGCACAGATGGCAGAGGGTCTCCTGAGAGAGGCTGAGTGGTGGGAAGGCCCCGGCTCTGGGTGATGCTCCCTGGGAGAATGGGCCCAGTGCCCCCATTGTTGTTTTATTTCCCGAGCAATTTACTTGAAACTAGTGATACAATAATTGTCATTTGATACATGGATCAAGCTACAATCAGTTTGTCAAGTTAAAGAAGAAATTCTCCCTCCTCTCTTTTGATGGGGTCTCACTCTGTAGCCTGGCTGGCCTGGAACTCACAGAGATCTGCTTGCCTCTGCCTCCCAAGTACTGGGTTTAGAGATGTGGGCTCCTGTAGCATGAATTCTAATCTGTCTTTATAATAAAACCCAGAGTCAGATATTAGGGGTGAAAGCTGAACGGTGAGAGAAGCAGAGCAGCAGCCACTAGTTCTTATCTCTGAGACATCCTCAGACCAAAGGGGCATCCTGCTCTGCAAGTCCCCAGACTGGATGCTCTGAGCTCCTGTCTCCTCCCACCTTATATTCCCCTCTCTGCCCAGCCATATCACTCCTGTCTCCACCTCCCTAGTGCTGGGATCAAAGGTGTGAGTTCTGTCTCTCAAGTGCTGGGATTAAAAGTGTGTGCCACCGCTGCCCGGCCTCTATGGCTAACTAGCGGGGCTTAGCTCTGATCTTCAGCAAGCTTTATCTGTTATAGCACAAGCAAATATCATCACAGGCCACCATCTTATTTTCTGTTATCTTTTCCTAGCTGGTGGTCTTCACTGTTTTTTTTTATTTCTTTGTTTATTTTTTAATTGTATTTCATGTGGCAAATCCTGCATTTCTAGTGTTCTGTGTTTATCTTTTTACTTGGCATCTGTCAGTACAGCACTCCTGACTATGGTCTCCATAACTGGAGAAGGTAGGTGACTCTCTGATAGGAAAATGGAAACCTTTTCTCCTTTTGGAAGATAAGTCTTTGGGGTTTGTTTGGAGTCAGATAGACAATATGCTGCCTTCTTTAGTTGCAGAGGAGAGTGGCCATGCGTGGCGGGAAGAGGAGCCTGGCCCCGCTCTCCAGGTTGGGGCCCTCTATCTGCATGAAGAGGAGGCCACACAGGGCCATCAGGGCCAGGGGAAGGTGGCAGAGCCTGCTGATCCTCGTGGAGATTCCGTGGTAGTGCTGTCGGTGATTCCGGGTGCAGCCGAGGACCAACGGAGTGCGGAGGCCCCAGATGGCACCTGCAGTGCGCTGGGTGAGGATGACCCACGCTGCAGCCAAGAGAGCCTCTTCGCGCTGCACGGTGCGGGTGGCTTCCCGGAGCGAGAAGAGGAGTACTACCCGGAGCCTGGAGTGGCAGAGGCTGAGCCCATAGCCACCGAGGATGCCAACAGCACTGACAGCCTCAAGACTCCCAAGGTGAACTGCGAGGAGAGGAATGTGACTGGGCTAGAAAATTTCACCCTGAAGATTTTAAATATGTCCCAGGTAGGAAGCCTGCGTTAATGATGTCTGTCTGTCTGCCTCTCCGTCATTCCTTTGTCTCTTCAAACTCATCTTATGATTTATTACTCTAGCACTCATGATCCAGTACTCTAATACTTATGATTTAATGCTCTGGTACTTGATTCGACACTCTATATTTATGATTTAATGCTCTGGTACTTGATTTGACACTCTAGTACTTATGATTTAATGCTCTGGTACTTGATTTGACACTTTATTCTTATGATTTAACACTCTAGTACTCATCAGCTTTCAGATGAACGTTCCCCAGGCTGGTCTCCAACACCTGTAGCATGAGTAATAAAAACCCAGACATAGATATTGGGGTTCAGCCTGAAGTTCATAAAAGCAAAGCAGCCAGCCACTAGGTCTTACTTCTACCTCAAACCGAAATAGCGATCCTGCCTCCATGAATCCTCAGAATGAGACTGAGCTGAGACCTGTCTCCTCCTGTCTTATATTCCTCTCTAGGACTGGGATTAAAGGCGTGCACCACCACCACCCAGCCTGTGTGGCTGCTTTACACTGACCTTCAGGCAAGCTTTATTTATTAAAACACAATGAATAGCCCACTCTAACCACCCTCAGCTTTATCCCTGTCCACTGTAAGGGTGGCGTTGAGTGACTTGCTCTCAGGGCGCGTATAGGGAAAAGATGAAATGTCACTACCGTCCGTTATGCAACACTGGACACAGCGCTGCAGGCCTGGAATCCCGGTTCTGGGAAGGCCGAGGCCTGCAGCCAGCTCCCGCTCTTTGTTTGACAGGTCTCAGAAGAGACAGGTGTTTTGGCAGGTATCCTAGGTTGATCCTGAATTTGCTATATAGCAAAGCATGACCTATGACCTTAAACTTTGGTTCTCCTGCTCCACCTCTGGGTGCTGGGGTCACAGGCCTGGACCACCACACTTAATTTTATGAGCTGTTGGGATTTGAACCCACAGCTTTGTCCATGTAAGCACTCTTGTAGCTGAGCTGTATCCCAGCCTGCTGTCTTTTTTTTTTTTTTTTTTTTTTTGACAGGGTTTCCCTGTGTAACAGTCCTAGCTGTCCTGGAACTAGCTCTTGTAGACCAGGCTGGCCTCGAACTCACAGGGATTCACCTGCCTCTGCCTCCCAAGTGCTGGGATTAAAGGTATGTGCCGCTACTGCCCGGCTTCCAGCCTGCTGTCTTAAAAAGAAAAGAGTTTTTTTTTAAAAATTAATGCACTTAATGTGCACTGGTGTTTTGCCTGTATATACTCTGTGTGAGTGTGTTGGATCCCCTGGAACTGGAGTTACAGACAGTTCTGAGCTACAGTGTGGGTGCTAAGAATTGAACCTGGGTCTTCTGGCAGAGCAGCCCTCTTAACCACTGAGCCATCTCTCTAGCCCCAAAAAGATGTTTTTTAAGTGATCAAAAGCTAGTTATTCTTGTGATAATCTTACTTCCAAGTCTTGTCAAAACATTCTACTGACAGGGGCTTGGGGTCATAATGACATTTTTCTTTTCCTAGAGTTGAGTGATAGACGCCTGCCTAGCATGTGTAAGGCCCTGGGTTCAATCCCCAGCACCACCAAAAAATAAATGACTTTTAAAAAAATCTGAATGAGGGGCTTTAGAGAGGTGGCTCAGCAGTGAGGAACATTCTGTTCTTCCAGAGGATTCAGGTTCAGTTGCCAGCACCCGTATTGGATGGCTCACAGTCATATGGAACTCTGGTTCCAGCGGATCCACTGCCCTCTTGTGGCCTCCTTGAGCAACTGCACTCAGGTACACACATCTATGCTCAGATCTACACACATGATTAAAACATAATAAAAAAGTCTTTTATAAGAAAAGAAAATCTGAACTTGAAGCATGATTAATAAGAACTCAGAGATAGAAATTGGGTTCAACCTGAATACCCAAAAAGCAAAGCAGCCAGCCACTGACTCTTACCTCAACTTAGGTTCAAAATGGCGATCCTGCCTCCAGGAATCTAGAATGAGACTGAGACTGAGAGCTGTCTCCTCCCATTTTATAATCCTCTCTAGTTCTGGGATTAAAGGCGTGCACCAGCCGGTTTCTGTGGCACACTAGTGCGGCTACTGGGATTAAAGGTGTGTGTTTAAGGTCTGTAAGGCTGACCTGTGGAGCTGTTTTACTCTATGATCTTCAGGCACACTTTATTTATCAAAATATAAATGAAATACAACTACATGAACTACTAAAGCTACAGCTGGATATTTCTGCTGGCAGATGTGTTACAGTGAGAAGTTCTCGTCCTCAAAAGAACGTGAGTCTAGTGTTTGTTCTGCAGTGAGTGAGACCGTTTCCAGATACTTAGATAAACGATGATTTCCCCAAGGGTATTCTGGAATAATGGCTGACAGTTACTGTCGATGGTCAAGAAGCCAGAAGGGCAGGATGCAATCAGCCTGCTTACATGAGAGAAGCAAACTCTAGCTCCGGGAGCCATGACAGCTCAGTGTCATAGAGGACATGGCATATTTAATTCATGAAGTTTTTCCGGGGACTGCGGCCAGCTGGCTCTCACTCCCTCCAGAGTGTCTCCTAAACACTGTTCTCAGGCCATCCAGGACTGGTTTGCTGTGTCGCACATATGACCAAGCCAATCTGGGTTGGGCTCACAACTGCCTTTAATTCCAGCTCCAGGCAACCTGTTACCTTCTTCTGGCTTCCGTGGATATCTGTGCACATATACATATGTTGCATACAAACAAATAAAAATAACATAAATTCTTTTTGATTTTGTTTTTTTGAGACAAGGTTTCTTTGCGTACCCCTGGCTGTCCCAGAACTCACTCTAGACCACACTGGCCTAGAACTCACAGAGATCCACCTGCTTCTGCCTCCCAAGTGCTGGAATTAAAGCCGTGCACCACCATTGCCTGGCAAAATCTTAAAAGATCCAAATCATAGCATAGTTTATGTTATACAATTCTGTGGACTGGGCCGTGGTCTGTGTGTGCTGTGAGGACTTAGTACTTGAGTTGACCAGTTAAGGGAACACTAAAGTGGCTTCAGGAAAGGGCAGAGATAAGTGTGCCCTGGCCCTCACAGTGCTTTTCTGCCGATTCATGTGTTCTTTGGTTCCAAATCCCAACAGTGGTTAAGGGGTTCAGTCTCCCTCGTCTCCGCTCACCCACTTGCTGCTCATTCGCTGGAGGCAGCTGGGAGTCCTTCTTGGGTATCCTTTCATAAGCACACACGTATGGCTTTTGTGGGGGGTTGCTTTGTTTTTTAGACAGGGTCCCTCTATGTATCCCTGACTGTCCTGGAACTTGCTCTGCAGACCATCCTGTCCTTTAACCTAAAGAGTTCCTTCCTTGCCTAGGCCACACAAACACATTTAATGCTGATTTCTAACTATTGTCTCTTTCTCTACAGGACCTTATGGATTTTCTAAACCCAAATGGTAGTGACTGTACGCTGGTCCTCTTTTATACCCCGTGGTGCCGGTTTTCTGCTAGCCTGGCCCCTCATTTTAACTCTCTGCCTCGGGCATTTCCAACTCTTGCCTTTTTGGCATTGGATGCATCTCAGCACAGCAGGTATCTTTGGTAGGGTTGTGGCTTATCCTGTCAACTGATGTCCGTAGTCGTATAATGCCTTTGTTGGTTACACTTCAAATATGGGCTAGGTAGTGGTGACGCACACCTTTAATCCCAGCACTTGGGAGGCAGAGGCCAGTGGAAATCAGTGAGTTCGAGGCCAGCCTGTTTACAGAGTGAGTTCCAGGACAGAGAAGGCTACAGTAGGAAGTCAACAGGCCTTTGTAAAGGATGGAAGGGAAAGGCAAGTGTGGAGGCTGCTGGTTGCCAGGCTCCTTCGAGCGCTGGTGGTGCCGGGTTCTAGGAGTCCCTAATGAAATAGTCCTCTTGTGTGTGTGTATGTGGGGGGGGCATAAGAATGGCAGGAAATGGCATTTGAAAGCAGGGACATGGCTAGAGGACCAGATTACATTGGCACACGTGGTATCACATAGGGGGTCTCTGTGATAGTAGCCTGCAGTGTGGGCCCAGCGTTGTGCTGTGCTGGGTCTGGGTATGTTTTTGTTTTTTTAATTGTCGACTTCTTTTTAAAGTGCATTTATTTATTTATTTAATGTATGTATATGGGTGTTTTGACTGCATATATGGCTGTGTACTGCATGCCCATGGAGGCTGGAAGAGGCTGCTGGATACCCTGGGACTGGAGTTACATGAGCCAATATGTGGGTGCAAAGAATCAAACTCAGGTCCTCTGAAAGAGCAACCTGTGCTCTTAACCATTGAGCCATCTCTATTTCCCTTTTTTTTTTTTTATTTTTTTTTATTTTTCGAGACAGGGTTTCTCTGTAGCTTTTGGCTAGCTCTTGTAGACCAGGCTGGCCTCGAACTCCCAGAGATCCGCCTGCCTCTGCAGATCTGGGATTAAAGGGGTGCGCCACCACCACCCAGCTTCTATTTCCCTTTTTTTAATCTTAAAAAATTTATCATTTATCTGTCTTTGTGCATGTGCTCATGTGTAGGAATGCCTGAAGAAGCTAGGGAAGGGTGTCAGGTCCCCGAGACAGAGTGAGGGGAGGTGAGCACTGGACATGGGGTGTCAGGTCCCCGAGACAGAGTGAGGGGAGGTGAGCACTGGACATGGGGTGTCAGGTCCCCGAGACAGAGAGTTTCATTTTTTTACATTTATTTATTGATTTAGTGTGTGTATGTGTTTTGACTGTTTATGAAGAAATAAGTTGTCCCTCAAATTAATAATTATCCTATTTAAAAGACTTTTTTTTTTAATTTGTGGTATGCTAGGGTGCATTAGAGGAACAGAACTGATAGACGGAATCTGTATTATTAAACAGGGATCTGTTAGACTGGCTTACAGGCTGTGGCCCAGCTAATCCAGCAAGGACTGGCTCCCGTAGTTCTTCAGTCCACGAGGCTGGATGTCCCAGCTGGTCTCGTCTACACTGGAATCCCTAAGAAGTGGGCACTAAAGCCAGCGAAGGAACGCCTCCTGGGCAGAATGGAAGAACTTGCCAGCTAGGGTGAGGGCAAGCGGGCAAAAGGCTAAAACTTCTTTTGTGTTCTTTTATGTAGGCTGTCACCAGAAGGTTTGGCCAGATTTAGGGTGTGTCTTCTTAACTCAAATTATACATATTTAGGGTGGGTCTTCTTACTTTAAATGACCCAATCAGGAAAATCCCTCGCAGGTGTGTCCAGCTGCTTGGGTCTTAGTCGATTCCAGATGTGGTCAAGTTGACAACCACGATTAGCCATCACACATGGTATGTGAGTGTCTGCGTGTGTGTGGAGGCAGGAGAGTGTCGGGTCCCTGGAGCTGAGGTTACAGGCAGTTGTGAGCTGATGCATACAGGTCACTGCGCCATCTCAGCAGCCCTAACTTAGCGACCCGTCTAGCTGCTCCAGGATAGTGTCTGCCAGGCCTAAGGATAGCGACACTGTTCAGGCTCCGACGCACACCAGACTCTGGCACTTAGGCCTGCACTGCACTCTTCCCTGCACTCCCTCCCAAAGGCTGTCGGTGACGGCCTCGCTGCCTTCCTTTGCCTGAGTGTGGAGGACCCTCGTTTTCATTACAGCGGCTGGAGCGTGTGTTTGATTCATCGGGCAGTGTCTGAAGGAGCAGAGTTACGTGCTCATCCAGCATCGACTGTTCAGTCACAGCAGAAGCCAAGGCTTCCTTAGTGAGGTTCAATAATTTCCCCAAAGGTCATAGTGAGTTCTGTCCTCAAACCACGGCCAGAACCTGGACTTGTCTGTGTGAAGGTGAATCAAGCCTGCAGGCTGGTTCTTCCGAGTTCTCCCTTCCTAGATGTCAGCCTCCTGGCATGTAGGTTGAGTCATGGATTCCTTTGTACCAATTTGCCAAAGAATTGCTTACTATGCTGATCCTTTTGAGGGAGGGATGGGCATTATGAAGTTCAATTTTTTTTTTTCTGTCAAGAAAATTGACACACTTTGTTTTATCCACAAATTAGAATTTTCTGGTCTGAGTTGTTTTGACATTTGGAATTTAAATAGTGGAACCACTGGGTCTTGGCTAGAGCCATGTGCTAATAGCAATTGAGTCGGATGGCAGAGCAGGAGCGCCCGAACCCTGACCCATGAGGAAGTGGTGAGGAGCAGACCAAAAGTCAAGAGTTCGACATAGGCAAGCCATGTGAGAAAGCATGTTTGGGGCTTTCTAACCTGCCTCCTTCTTTCTCCTGCAGCCTTTCCACCAGATTCGGCACCGTAGCTGTTCCTAACATTTTGTTATTTCAAGGAGCTAAACCCATGGCAAGGTTTAATCACACAGACCGAACTCTGGAAACGCTGAAAATCTTCATCTTCAATCAGACAGGTATGCAGACATAATATTCTGAGGGGGAGAAAAGACACGATCTCACTGTGCAGCCATGGCTGGCCTGGAACTCGCGCTGCAGACCAGGCTGGCCTCGAACTCACAGAGATCCGCCTGCCCCTGCCTCCCGAGTGCTGGGATTAAAGGCGTGCTCCACTGTCGTGTGTTCCATTTATTAATCCATTTGCAGATGTTTGAATTCCTTAGTGTTTGCCAAAGCTTATGGCCCTATGGTTTATTTCTTGTAAAAAGTTTGATTGTGGTGAGCTGAAGAAACCTTCCCCTGGAAAATGTCCCTTTTCAGACTTACAGCCTTCGCCACAAGTGTCCGCTTCTCTCTGAGGCGTACTTCCTGGAAACGAGTACAGGTTAGAATGCACCTCAGTGCACATTCTGCTCAGTTTTCTTCTAACATGAGAGAGCAAAGATCCTCATTAGCTCAGAGGTGAGAGGCTGCAAGGTCGCTGGATTCCTGATTGGTGTGGGGAAAGAAAGCCATTGTGTGTAATGCTTGTGGATAAATTCTAGGTGCCCGCCATCTTTAGTGATCACTGACCCAATTGTTCAAGCGATTCTTTCAGTAACTTATTTAAAGGCATCTTGACTTTAACATAAATCAACCCATGGGAACATTTGCGAGTGGTCTTACTTGTTGAGCTTTGGTCTTAAGAGAACAAAAGTCTACTCTACCAGGACGTTGGCTAGGAAAGCTTTGAGGAGCCACAGAATCTCTGGAGGTTTAGCTTTGAACTGCTGGACAGATGCCTGACCCTTTGATGTGCTGGGAAGAAAGGCAGGTGACAAATCGCCCTGGCACGCAGGTGAAATCCGTCCAAGATTCGCTCGCCGTGCTGTTTGCTTAAGGGTCGCTTGTCATTTTGCATGCCATGCATGGTGCTGTAGACAAGCCTTAGATGTGTTTTCTTTCTAATTTGAAACAATTGATTTCTCTTTCAGGTATAGAAGCCAAGAAAAATGTGGTGGTAACCCAAGCCGACCGAATGGGCCCTCTCCCCAGCACGCTGATAAAGACCGTGGATTGGCTGCTTGTGTTTTCCTTATTCTTTTTAATTAGTTTTATTATGTATGCTACCATCCGGACTGAGAGCATTCGGTGGCTGATTCCAGGACAAGAGCAGGAGCACGCAGAATAGAGACACTAAAGGGAAGAGGAGGTGCCCGGCAGGGCTGATGTTACAGTCGCGGGCATTTTCTCTCCAAGCGCTGACTTGCAGCGGAAGTCGGATTCAGGAATCAGGTTCTTGTTGAACTACTGGAGGGCTGGAAGGATTGCATGTGGGCGTGCTCTTACTGTGAGAATTCGCAGATGCAGAAGCGCTCACTAGAATCAACTGTTCTTGATTTTAATACTTGAACATGACGAATTCCTCTTCCAGTGTCGTTAAGCAGGAAAGTATGAGAAAAGTACCAGGAGGGGTGTGGGCCTCTCAGTAGCACCTGTGAGAAGTAAAAGGTCATGCGCCCATTGTTCTGTGATCTCTGCTTTCTCTGAAGGAATTCCAAGTGATTTCACTTGTTTCTAGGAATGGCAGGTGTTGGGGGGAAAAAAATAAACATTCTAATTAAAACCTGTTAATTCTGTGCTGGAGCATAAAATTCAGTCAGTTATATAACAGCTGTGCATGATTTGAGACTTAAAACTCTGAGCACTGGCCGGGCGATGGTGGCGCACGCCTTTAATCCCAGCACTCGGGAGGCAGAGGCAGGCGGATCTCTGTGAGTTCGAGACCAGCCTGGTCTACAGAGCTAGTTCCAGGACAGGCTCCAAAGCCACAGAGAAACCCTGTCTCGAAAAACCAAAAAAAAAAAAAAAAACCAAAAAACTCTGAGCACTGAGCTGGGTGATAGTGGGCATGCCCTTGGTCCCAGCACTTGGGAGGCAGAGGCAGGTGAATCTCTTGATTTTAAGGCTAGCCTGTTTTACTGAGATCCAGGATGGCCATGGCTACAGAGAGACTGGATTGAAAAACCAAAACAAACAAGCCTGAACCCTGAGCTGGGTTGAGATCCAAAAGAAATATGAAACACCATTTCTGTCTGAAGATGAGTCTGGTCTAGTTGAGGACACATTTAGAAAAGAGACGACGTGGGCTGCTGAGATGGCTTAGCACATAAAGACGCTTGCCACCAAGTGTGAAGACTGTTGTGTGCGTTCAGTCCCTGTGTCCGCATGGCGGGAGGAGAGAACTGGCTTCTAAAATATGTCTTCTGACCACGTGCACACAGGCTTAGAAAAGTGCACATTTTATAGAGACAACATATAATTTATACAAGCCTCTTTTTAAAATTATTATTATCATTGGTTTTTAGAGACAATTTCTCTGTGTTGCCCTGGCTGTCCTGGAACTCGCTCTGCAGATCCTCCTGCCTCTATTTTTTTGATAGGGTCTCATGCAGCCTTGACTAACCTGGAGCTTGCATTGTAGACAAAGCTGGCCTTGGATTCATGGAGATCCTCCTGCCTCTGCCTCCCAAGTGCTGAAATTAAAGGCCTGTGCATCATGCCTGGCTTGATAAATTACTCTTATACTAATTTAGACCTCAGTGCGTATGAGATACTCTTCATCCTATAGAAATAAGAGTGTTGTGTTGAGAGCTTATGACTTTATGGCGTGTATAACGTCATGAGCAGCCTTTGCTGGGTGTCCACTGGAGAAGGGGACTGTGACTCTGAACGACACCATTATGTCTGTTTGCAAATGAGCAAACAGGCTGAGAATGATCAGGCTACTTGCCCAGCTTACAAAGACAGTAAGTTCTCACCTTGACCTGTAGTTACAAATCTAAGAGAGGGAGCAAAGAAACCTTAGTGATCCCGTCTCACAGACACTCGAGTCTTTTCTGTGTGAATGCCAGCTACTGTTTAAAAGTTACACATACAACTCGGAGATTGCTACTGTCAAAAGGCTTCATTTCAGAAGGCAAAATGAAGCATGGAATAACTCATTACTGGCTGTGCAGACCTTCATTGTAGGGTTTTGTATTGTGTTCTTTGAATTGGAGTCTTGAGATGTAGCTCAGGCTGGCCTTGGACTGACTCCTCCTGCCTCTTTCTCTTACTATGAGATTCCAGGTGTGTGTCACCACACGTGGCTCCAAGCCTAGAGGAATGGCTCTGCCTTATTCTCTGCCCCAGCCCCAGTGACCTTTGGATGTGTTTACCTCTGGTCTTTCTCTAGTATATTGCTGTGACAACAGAATCCAGCACTGTGTCAGGGACCTTTTGCCATGATAAACCAACCCAAAGTGAGATATCGAAGAAAGGGTGGTTTTTTTTTTGGCTTATGGTTCCAGAGAGAGTCGGAAATGTTGGGGAGGCAGAGAATATGGAGGTGAGAGATCGCCTTTTTAGCTGCAAACAGCAAGTGGAGAGAGTGGACTGGAAGTGGGGCATGGCCACAGACTCCCAAAACCTCTCCCCAGTGACACATCCTCCAGCCAGGCTCACCCTCTGGAGGTTCCATAACCCCTCAGACAGCACTGCCAACTGGAGACCAAGTGTCCAGATACCCTGGCCGGGGGGCAGGGGGGGGGCGGGGGGGTGTCGCTCATTCAAACCACAACAAGCAACTTTGATCTTTGTGATTTTTTGAGACAGCCTTGGGTGTGAGCTAGACTGGCCTCAAAGTCTCCAGCTGCCTTAGCCCTGGGTGCCTCTCTAGCTCCTGGCGTGTGTTACCACACACAACTGGCATACCACCTTTGTTTATTTTGCTTATCAAATGATTAGTAGTTCCCTGTTGTGAACACTGTAAGACCTTTCCCTTCGTCGTATTTAGTGTGTATGTGCTCAGGCACATGCGTCATGGCTCACAGGATGAGGTCAGAGGACAAGTTGTAGGAGTCGGTTCTCTCCCTCCACGATGTGGGTCCCAGGGATTGAATTCAGGTGGCCAAGCTTTGGTGGCAAGCATTTTTACCTGCTGAGCCATCTTTCTGGCTCCCAGGAGTTTTCTTCTCAACCTTAGGTGTAGAATAGGCTTTGAAGTAGATTTAACATACTTGTCTGTTAATCTGGATATTATAGTATTCTCATTGCCTTTGGAGTATCTTCTGGAATGAGAATTAGCCTTCTCAAAATGAGATTTTAGGCCAGGCACGGTGGTGCACACCTTTAATCCCAGTACTCGGGAGGCAGAGGCAGGTGCATCTCTGTGATTTTGAGGCCAGCCTGGTCTACAGAGTGAGTTCCAGGACGGCCAGGGCTACACAGAAAAACTCTGTCTCAGAATACAAACCAAAAAGAAACATATCCTTTTAAAATATAAAATTCTGGGCTGGAGAGATGGCTCAGTAGTTAAGAACATTGCCTGCTCTTCCAAAGGTTTTGAGTTCAATTCCCAGCAACCACATGGTGGCTCGCAGCCATCTGTAATGAGGTCTGGTGCTCTCTTCTGGCCTGCAGACATATACACAGACAGAATATTGTATACATAATAAATAAATAAACAAATATAAAAAAGATTAAAAAAATAAAATATAAAATCCTTTTATTGTTTTGGTTTTTGAAGCCAGTGCGTCTAGAAGAGCAGCCAGTGAATGTCCTGAACTGCTGTCCCCAGCCCCAAAGAGACGTGTCTTAGTGTCCATTGCTGTGAAGAGACACCATGACCACGGCAGTTCTTATAAAGGAGAGCATTTAAAGTGGGGTGCCTTACAGTTCAGAGGTTTGGTGCATTATCATCACGGCAGGAAGCATGGCAACACACAGGCAGACCTGGAGAGGGGACATGGGGCTGGAGAGGTGGCCCATTTGAAGCCCCAAAGCATACCCCCAGTGACACACTTCTGCCATCAGACTTTCCTCTGGTCTGCCAACATGGAGACTTGTTCATTGAGAAAGCTTGGCCTTTAGCTTAGGCTGTCTTAACCAGCTCTTATTTAATTTGTGTTCTGCCACATGGTATCACCTCTCTTCCATCCTGCAACTCCTGTCTCCTCTCCATGTCTGGCTGGTGACTCTGCTTTTCTTCTCTGTCCTCTCTGTCCCCGGAGTCCTCTCTGTGCCTAGAAGTCCCATGTAACCTCTTTCTAGCTATTGCCTGTTCAGCTTTTATACCAATCACAGCAGTACGTTTTCACACAGTGGAAAAATATCCCACAACACACTCCTCCAATGAGGCCACACCCACTGCAACAAGCCCCTCCCCATGTCCTAATAGTGCAACTTCCTGGTGACCAAGCATTCAAATCTATGAGCCTATGGGGGCCATTCTTATTCAGACCACCACAGTGGGAGGCTCTATTCCAATCTGCAGTCTAGGGAGTGAGAGAGAGGGTGGCCAGATTCCTAGCAGACCATTGGTTTGCTTCTAATACTTAACTCAAACTACCTACATGGGTCCCCTGGAGGGAACGCAGAACAAGGTTATTTGTTGCCTGGAGAAGAGAAATGAACATTAGTCAGAAAGCTGGGGTGAAGGGGAGGAGGTGGAGGAGCCACTCAAGATTGGTCCCATCATCACAAGCCAAGTGTGGCGTCCACCACAGAGAAGTTTTTAGCAAATCTTTGCTTAAGGGCTTAAATCTTATTAATCTGGGTGCTTTTTTAAATAATTATTTTTGAACTTTATTTTTTATATGTATGGATGTCTTGCCTGCATGTATGTGCACCATGTGTGTGCCTGGTCTACTGGAGGCCAGAGGAGGGCGTCAGATCTCCTGGAACTGGAGTTACAGACGGTTGTGAACTGCCATTTGGGTGCTGGGAATAGAACCCAGGTCCTCTGTAAGAGCAGGAAAGTGCCCCTAACCTCTGAACCATTGCTCCAGACCTGAGAGTCTTTTTATTTTTTTTAATTAATTAAATTAATTAGTGGTTTTTTGAGACAGGGTTTCTCTGTGTTGCTTTGGAGCCAATCCTGGAACTAGCTCTTGTAGACCAGGTTGGCCTCGAACTCACAGAGATCCACCTGCCTCTGCCTCCCAAATGCTGGGATTAAAGGCATGCACCACCACTGCCTGGCCTGAGAGTCTTTTTAAAAAATCAAAAAAGCAAAACAATTAAAAGTGTGTTTGTGTCTGTGTCAGAGGACAACTTGTGGCGACAGCTCTCTCCTGCCACCAGTGGGTCCTGGGGACCAAACTTAGGTCAGCAGGCTTGGCTGGAAAGAACCGTTACCTGCTGAGCCAGCTTCAGGGCTCACCTGGGAGCTTCTTGGACAAGAACAGCACACACAGTGCCTCTGTTGGGTGAGGATGTCACTTTCCTAGGCCCTAGCACCTTTCTCCTGCTGCTTTATAGCTACACTTGGGATGCCATGGTCCAGACAGGTGTAAGGAGGGAAAAGATGCACCTCTACTTTGTTAACACACAGCTACCAATTCATTTTCTGTTCTCAGCTTCTCCCTCCCTCCTCCTCTTCCAATGTGTAGGCCAGGCTGGCGTCAAACCTCAAACCAGGCTGCCTGTCCTCGCGATGCTGAGATTCCAGGTGAGTGCCACACGCCCTGCAGGGATCCTCACTTTCACATGCAAATTTCAAGAATATTTTCCATGAACATAAGCATCCAGTGAAAATACTAGAAACAAGACTTTTAGTTTCTTTTTCTGTAGTAGCACGAATTCTAGTTGGT